TAAGGAAGAAAGGGAGTCTGGAAAGACAAAGGTTTTATAAACCAAACTCTAGCAAGGAGTTCTCCATACTGCACCTCATTCCGGGTAGATGAGGTTGTAAGGGTAAAGTCTTCTTCCTGGAAGACGGCTACATATGTCTTGAGTTAATCAACTCAAGGGCAAATGAGGGCAAAAAACCCAAATTGGCTTCAGACAGCAGCTTACATGTTTTCCAAAACAGAAGAGAAGCTTTTCACTAGCATCTCCAGAAACTTCCACTGAGTAGAACACAGTAAGTTATCAGGCAGTAGAACCAGTGCCTGGTCACACTGTGAAGGAGCTTGGAATTGAACGATATTGGACAAATTTTGAATAGCGGTGGTCTTCAAAGGAAACACTACAAAAGAAAGTATGAATGAGTGATCAACTCTGAACATCTATGACCTCACCTATCGCAATTTTTTTGCATATTTTATACCCAGCCAGAGTTTTGTCATCACATATTAATCCATCAGAATTTAGATGAGAGAGAAAAATCCTTGGAAGGAACCAGAAACGGCATTCCCCTATATTTTGAAGATGTTAAGCAGTACTTTTTATCTTCTCCTTAAACTGTTGTTTACCCAAGACTGTAAACAGTCTTGGTATCATCTACAGCCTGCTAAGCCAAGCAGCCATGAAACATTTATTTGTTAAGCAAGAACACATTTGACAAGACACAAGTCACAAAGATGCCACTATGGAGAAGAGATTTTCAAAAGATATCCCACATGTAGGTCCCCCAATCCAAATAATTCCAAGATACAGTTTGGGGGAGGGGGGGGCTGTGTGTGTGTGTGTGACGTGAGGGGGGTGTTGGTTGTTGTTTGGTTTTTTTAAACTTACTCAGGGGTGGAGAACAATGACTGAAGTTAACTGATCTGTTCAGTATCTACAGGGAGTCAGTGTATAAACATGAAATTATAGACTGCAAAGGTGTCCTTTTTTTTTTTTTCTTACAATAAATTCTAGCCATTCTTTACCTCTTGGTTTTATTTTCAGTAAAAAACTTCATTCCACAAAGAATGGGTCCTTTCTTGGCCGCCGCCCCTCCCCCCCCCCCAAAAAAAAAGAAAAAAAACACATAAAGTGCCAGAATGAACAGACATGGAGAAAATAAGCTTTCACAAGCATTAACTCGAACCGAAAGAAATGAGACAGTAGCTAGTTTTCAATACCTATTCAAGATTTAGTTCTATGATGAGATGGAGATCGAGGATGTCAATTCCTTTCTTTTTAAACTCCACAGTTCAGCTATGAGTTGCCTACACAGAGCTCCTTACCGAACTGGAGTCTAAATACAGCAATTAGCAATCAAGCAAACATTTTAACATTCCAGAAAGATTAAGACAGATTCTAATGGCACTGCTGATCTATGTCTAGTTCTGCATACCACTCAAATCAAGGCTACTTTAATAATGAAAACATGACACAGAACACCAAGTTTGCTTGCTCAGCATTTATAATCATGCCCACCTCATTTTTACTAATAAATCTAACTAACTCAGAAATAAAAGTTTTAGTTACACACAAAATCATGTTGGGTTCAAGCAAATTTTCTTCTGGAATCAAAAGCATGTTTGGAGATATTTTAGAGTTAAAATATTTTGATTGATATTCCTGTGACTTGTTAAAAAATAGAGCTCTACTACATCTAAAACAAAACAAGTCAAACAGACAATTTACTGTTTGCCCACAAATGACTCAATCTTAGGAGAGAGAGAAAGTAAGCCTATTGTTGTCCAGCACAGATCTAGTATCTTTCTGAAAATTGTAAAGGCATTAGTAGAACTAGGACAGTGCTTGACAGTTGATTTTAAGTTTTTAATTCCTAGTGAGCTGCAAAATTTTGCCATATTTGCATAAACATATTTCACAGCTTAGAATGTTCTTTGATAGCTCATATTTCAATATATTACTTCTAGTTCATTCACAACCTTTAAAATCACAAAAGCTATTGTTCTGGTTTCGCCTGGGATAGAGTGAATTTTCTTCCTAGTAGCTGGCACAGTGCTGTGTCTTGGATTTAGGATAAGAACAATGCTGATAACACACTGATGTTTAGTTGTTGCTGAGCAGCGCTTACGCTAGTCAAGGACTTTTCAGCTTCTCATGTCCTGCCAGCAAGAAGCTGGGAGGGGGCACAGCCAGGACAGCTGATCCAAACTGGCCAAAGGGATATTCCATACCATGTGACGTCATACTCAGTACATAAACTGGGGGGAGTTGGCCGGGGGGGGGAGACGTGCTGCGCAGGGACTGGCTGGGCATTGGTCGGCGGGTGGTGAGCAATTGCATTGTGCATCACTTGCTTTGTATATTATTATTCTTATTACTATTATTATTATTATGATTTGATTTTATTTCAATTATTAAACTGCTTTTATCTCAACCCACGAGTTTTCTCACTTTTACTCTTCCAATTCTCTCCCCCATCCCACCGGGGGTGGGGGGGGAAGTGAGCAAGCAGCTGTGTGGTGCTCAGTTGCCGACTGAGGTTAAACTGCGACAGCTATTTACATAGAAGGTTATTAAATGGTTATGATTCTTTTATTTTCAAAAACAGTTTATGCAAAATGATTGGAAGCATAAAAAAAAAACTTCACAGCATATAGTTTTAAATATATATTAAACAATAAAAAACCGAAACTGCCAGTGAACTAAAATAGTGCTCAAGCTTTGCTTCCTAACCTGACCCTAAAGGACTATATTTAACAGTCAGAGCATCACAACTGACATTGCCATGCAACAAAATGCAAGAAAATTGGCTTGGCATACAGAAAAACAGCAGAATTATTTTATGCACATACAAGCTTCTAATTCTGACATAAATGTCTCTCATATTCACAGTATGAAGATTTTTCCAGCAGTGTCTCCTGATGCTGGATGCTCAAGATGAAGGAAAAAGTTTCATGTACGCTCAACCATCCCTTACTTCCTTCGTCAGTACAGTATTCAGCAATGGGAAAGCACACAGACTTATGGAGATCATAGAGGTAATATCCCCGAAAGTACTGCCTCCTGTCAAGTAAAGCATTTTCTGCAGTCTACACACAGGGGGCTCAGAATCGGTAACCAGATATGAAAAAGGCAAGTGCTTAATGCATATTTCAGTGAAGAATACTGTGAATTTTGCCCCAAGGAGCACCTTTTCATGCTTCTAGGAGGAAATGAAGTCAGCTTTCCCAAATATGAGATGTATGCATGCTCCCCAAGAAAATCATAGCAACTGTCAGTGCTCATGAATCTAACCTTAAACTTCATGTGAAATCTTCACGCAATTTTAAACACCTTCTTAGTCACTGAATTGACATAATTATCCTTCAGTCTGTGTCCAGATCCACAAATAATCTTGTGGAAACTTGAAGTGGTAAGGTCTACGCAGCACAAATGTTAATATCCTAAAGACAGCTAAGCTTTTAAGTTCAGTTTGTTCTTGATTTGAGTGTGGTTTACAGAAAAGACTAGCCAATGAATCATCTGATTTAAATGAAAATCAGATTACTTTTGGTAAAAGCTTGGGACATGGCCTAAGGATGACCTTATCCTTCCAAAATATAATATGATAAAGTCCAGACACAAATATGTTTTTTCCCCTGTCCTCTGGGCTGATGTGATTACCATAAAAAAGACCTCCTATTCCCATTGACAATAGAAAAGAAGTTGTTAATCAGTAAAGTCACAAAGACAAAGGTCCAAGGAGGACCCAAATAGGTAGATGTTTACAGAAGTTGAAGGCAGGGGGGCAGGGTAGGAGAGAGAATGAGAACTTTCACTGTTTTGAACTGTGAACAATTCTAACAGGCAGCCCAAACGCTTTCAAGGCAATGAATAGTTACAGACACCTATAATTTAATTTGCATTTTGGAAGAGGAAAATAGCATTGTTTGTGCTGAATAATAAATCTTCTACTTTTTGCTGTGTACTTTAATAAGGAAGGATCCTTTCTACATCATAATAAATGCTTAGAGCAGGATTGGTTTTGGGGCGGGTTTATGCCAATCATCCAGTCAGCATTGAGACTAAGAGTAATTAGGTTAGATCCAAACACAGGTTATTCTAGTCGTTCTAGATTGAATCTGAAGGAGTTCTGAAATGGTGAAAAATGTATGATGTCTGGATATCTAGCCCAGCTAGCGCCGTTGTGGTATTTTTAATCAATTTTCATCTGATTTTATTCAGAACCATAAGTACAGAACGGTAAGCAACTGATATTGCTACAGACCGTAAGACAATGAACGCATATGCCCACAAACTACCAGGGGCTGAACGAGCCCAAGCCTCTCAAACGTTCCCATTTTTGCCACCCAGTACACATGCTTGCTTTGTGTGACACAGAGCTGTTCAGTGCCCAGTTGAGATCAGGATTCTGTCTACTTCTGACCCTGGACTTAGGCATACCTCTCAAGAGAACTTAAAAAATTTTTTGATCCCACTCAGAAGTGATTTTTTGGATGAAGGAATTCCCAATTGCTAACTGTGGTTTACTGAGAATTTCCTGAATCTGGCCTCACACCTCAATTATCCCTCTAAACTCTACCATGCTATTTGCCTGTCCACAATGGTACTTAACTAAATCCTTCTTCTGGCTCTACGTGGTATACAAGAAATTGCAGACAGTCAAGACATACACTTTACCCAAAATGCTTGTGCATTGAACCTAGGAAGTGAGAAAGAGTAGGGTATACTGAAGACCAGAACCCCAGCTATAATTAGCAGAAGGCTACTGCACAAGATGTAGGCCAGTTGTCAGTTATCTGACTACTCAGAAAACAAATCTCTTTATACCTTATGGGAAAAAAAAAGAAATCAGTCTTGGAAAAATGTTTAACTGCATTGGCGTGGTTTTATAATTTTCAATTAAAATAGCCATTCATTCAGCAAGCTAAAAACATGGTTGTCCAAACAGTCTAAGTAAATTTTACATAGGTTTACTTAAGCATGGTATGTTCTAGAATATTTGCAGCCAAAGCAATATTTACCTCCTCTCTTTTTTTTTGGACCCATTCCTTGTGCTTCTCTTCAGCTACCCTTTTCCTCCTTTCACATTCTTGCTTTTGCTTCACCTTCTCAAGCTGTATATTCATTTCCTAATTAAAGAAAAAGTATACATATTAAATCCGTGGTGACCATCTACACCAATAC